AACGCTGGGTGACTGCTGGCGCAAATAGCACGTGACAAAATATTTTTTTGGATTTGCAAAATATTTTCGGATTTTGAAAAAATTTTTTTGGATTTCAAAATATTTTTTCGGATTCGCAAAATATTTTCGGATTTTGAAAAAATTTTTTGGGATTTCTAAATATTTTTTTTGATTTGCAAAATATCTTTGGATTTGTCAAACTTTTCGACAGTGATTTTAAAATAGATGTTGCGATTTGAAATATTTTTCGGGATTTGAAAAATATTTTTAGATTGTCCCCTTTCGGCTTCCGTACCGTATATGATCTCACGTACTGGAACCAGTTACCATCGGCTGTAAAAAATGCATCTAATGTATCATTATTCCGGAGACTTTTAACTAAGTTAAATTTTATCGGCTGTCAATGTAGTGGTTGCCTTTTATTGTTGTTGTTGTTTTTTTTATACATTATTTCTAATTTAATCGGTGCTATTACAATTTTACCTTTCTTTTATATTGTCAAACACTTTTATCATGAGCCTCTGGGTCGGGTTATTGTAGGACCACCCCCTGTGTATTTTTTTGACATTGAATAAATTATCTCATCTTATCTAAGTCCTGTGATTTGATCGACGAAATATAAGATTATGTTACAATGTTTAAGTTATGCCGTGTTCAGTACTCTATAGAAGAGTCAATAAGACAGTCAAAGGTTTAAAATTGGATCAAGGACGTACTTAAGTCGAAACTCACGGTCGTCAAAGAGTTCACTCTTGTAGCGCTCACAGGCCACAAGACTAGTACTCTGCGGTGGTTATTGCCCAATCTCGAGCCCACATTTTTTTCGGCTTCTTGTCAGCGGTTGGTCGCCTGGCGTGAGACAAAGTGCGGACAGGTCACATGCAGTACCGAAAGCACCGATACTTTTCATTAGTATCGATATTTCTGACCGATCCTTAAGAGCACATCGTCAGTGATGGTGGTCACAAAATTTTGGGCTCCGGCATTTCTGGTCTTATTAACGTGTATCAAGTTCTTTAAATTATTTTGAACCTTTACTTAATTCTGGAATATTACCATCAAACCGGCTCCAATAAACCTGAACCATCCAAGCGAAACAACGATAGAAGATTAAAGGACATGCCAAAGAACAATAGAAGGAAACTAACCTGCATGACAATGAACTGTCGAAGCGCTAAAAACAAAATAGCAGACATCGCTTCTGTAATAGATCAACATAAACCCGATATCATCTTTGGTACTGAATCCTGGTTAAACTAGAACATCGAAAGTAACGAAATATTTCCAAATGGCTACAAAATCTTTAGAAAAGACCGTCCTGATTACTGCCACGGCGGAGGCGTTTTCCGCCCAGGCTGTGAAAAACGATATTATAATAATACATCGTTCGGACCTGGACACCAACTGAGAAATTATTTGGACCCAATGTCAGCTAACAGACAAGGAAACAAAATCACTGCTATTTGGATCATATTATCGACCAAATTCTTCCAACGTTAATTATAAGCCTTGATGAGCTAGATGCATCACTGTTAAAACTTGGGAACAGCGTGCATAAAAATACCATCATTATTTCTGGTGATTTCAATGCTCCTGATATTATCTGGGATACTGAATATTCAAGCCAATCTGCCTCTGATCATGGACTGTTAGAAATAACTGATGATCAGGATCTGAGTCAACACGTCAAAGAACCAACTAGAAGGGATAATAATACACAAAACATCTTATACCTAATTCTCTCCAATAATTCCAATTAAAATATCATCGAAAATGTCAGCGTCGTTCCTGGTATTAGTGATCGTGACATTGTGTTATTCACTGTGAGCACTTCTTGCCGAAGAAAGAAAAATGTCAAACGCAAAATATTCATTAGAAAAAAAAAAGCCGACCCTGCTCGCATTAAAGAAGAACTTACAAAGCTATCACTTCATATGGATACAAGGGGCTTTAATTCATCAATCGACGAAAAATGGAGCTGCTTCGAAGATAACATTCACCGTATAATGGATTCTTGCATCCCCTCAAAGTGGACTAGTTTTAGATATAATCTACCATGGTTCAATCATTCTTTGAAACGTCTAGCCAGGCGTAAGCAAAGGCTCTACAACAAAGCAAAATCTTCTGGAAAACAAAATGATTGGAAGGCATTCCGTGTAGCCAGAAAGCTAATGCTTAAAGAAGCAAGAAATACTAGTACATATATTTCTGACTATCTAGGCGAAGCTATTGAAGAAAACCCTAAGCGATTCTGGTCGTACATTAAACAACTGAAAAAAGGAGAGCCTGGGATTGCAGATTTCGAAATAAATGGTTCCAAAATTAGCGATAACAAATCAAAAGCCGAAATACTAAATAATCAATTCTCAAATGTCTTTACTCAAGAAGACTTATCAAACATCCCTGATATTGGATGCGACAGAATACCAGCCATTGACAGTCTGTCTATCACCACTAATGGAAGGTGTAGTCTGATCGCCCGGGTGAGTGTAGTCCTGAGAAGGACTGTTGTCGGTGGTAGTCACTGACGTTTCGACAACCTGTGCGGAAGTCATCATCAGAGTCAAGTGAATGATTGTTGTCAGTAGAATGTTCTTATTCCAGTTCGTGTAAAATGATCGGTTGGTTTTGCCGTGATGTTATTGGCTGTAAGACTCAAGAGACGTAAGTCGGTCGTGATTGGTCTGTTTCGATCTGTCGGTAAAGTTAGGTCGTTCTTTTTCGGTCGTTTGTGATGTTTATGTCGTGAATAAGTCGTTTGTATGGAGGGGGTAGTTGTTGACATTTGTTTAGGGGAGTCTGTTCTAAGCAGTTATCGCTATGAAGACTAATAAAGCTTCTGGACCTGATGCCATCCCACCGTGGTTTCTAAAAGAACATGCAGCTGAGATTGCTCCTAACCAACCAAATATCTTCCAAGACTCTATCGAAAGTGGAACTGTACCCAGTAGATGGAAATCGGCAAATGCATATGGTGTCTTTAAAAAAGGGAAAAAGTCTGATCTTTCCAACTACAGACTTATATCTCTAACCTGCATAGCATCGAAAATTCTTGAACACAATGTACATAGCCATGTGATGAAACATTTTGAACATTATAACGTGCTAACAGACTGTCAGCATGGCTTCAGATAAAAAAGATCCACAGAACTTCACCTAATACTTACTATTCATGATATTGCCAGTTCCCTACAACAAAACAAATCTATTCATGCTGCTGGGTTAGACTTTTCCAAAGCTTTTGATAAAGTCCCACATCAACGCTTACTAATGAAACTGGAGCGTTACGGTATCCATGGAAACCTTTTGTCTTGGATGGAATCCCTCCTCACCAAGAGAGTTCAAACCGTCATCTGTGAGGGCGCAACATCTCCCTCTTCCCTAGTGACCCCGGGTGTACCACAAGGGTCAGTACTAGGCCCGTTGTTGTTCCTAACATACATTAATGACCTGCCAAATGGTCTGACCTCTACACTCAAGCTGTTCGCTGATGAAACTCTTTTGTACGGAGTGGTGGTTGAAGATTCAGACTGCGACAATCTCCAAGACGATCTAAAAAAACTAGTAATTTGGCAACATGAGTGGCAGATGCAATTTAATCCCTCAAAGTGCAACAACATCTGCATTTCAAATAAGCAAAGTCCTCCTCAACGGACACACTTTTTCTGTGGGTCCAAGCTTGAACAAGTAGACTCTTTATCGTACCTAGGAATTACTGTTAACAGTAAATTAAAGTGGTCCGAACACATTTCATCTATCTCAAGCAAGGCGAGTCGATCTTTGGGGTCGATCTAGAGAAATCTCTGGAACTGCCCCAGGAAAGTACGTGAAACGGCCTATACCAGCATTGTCCGACCCACACTGGAGTACGCAAGTGCCTCGTGGGACCCACACTACAAAAAAGATAATTCAACCTTGAAGAGAGTTCAAAGAAAAGCTGCTCGTTTTTGCCTTCAAAACTTCAACAAATCAGCCAGTGTGACAGACATGTTATCTGATGTGAAATGGGACACAGAAACAAAAAGAAAGAAAAAAAGATTGACTTTAATGTATAAACTTAGTCATAACCTAGTAGACATTAACAGAGAAGAACACTTAATACCAAACAGAGAAAAAAGAACACGCAACAGCCATGCTTTTAAGTATAGATTGCCAAAAGTATCTAAGGACGTCTTTAAGTTTTCCTTCTTTCCTAGATCAGTAACAGAGTGGAACTCACTGCCCGCTGACTTAGTAAATTGCAAGTCTATCTGATTTTAAGTTAACTTAGGAAAGTACGTGAAATAAGTAAAGTACCTTCCAATTATTATCATTTATTTATCTTGTCATATAGACATTTTATGCTTTTATTTAATTTATGCATATGTACGTATATATATATATATATATATATGAAATTACCTGATGAGTGTGGTCATATTTTTGACCATACGAAACAGAGCTGTCGTAATAAAACAATGAACTACCTCAAGTCTTAAACCAGTTTGTTATAATTATATAGATCATGATATATATATTTTATTTTAGCCTTTATTCACAGTTGATGTGATATCTAATAAGATTTTATCTACTCAATAAATGTAGATGTAGATGTAAACCTCGGTATCGTCGGTATCAAATATTTGGGATCGGTATCGGCCCATCCTTACCTTAAAACCATGGTAGCGGGTTGGGAGACCAATACAGCGGTCAAATGTGGGGCATGCGTGTGGGGATGAGTTCTGGCCGGCTGCGCGCCAATTTCCCGCGCAAAATTTCAGAGGAAAACATAAGAAACAATCGCTGTCTCGCATAATAGTTATAAGCGAAAGAAAATTTAAATATTGTGGAAATTTGTAAAAGGGAACAAAAGTAAGGAATGAAGAAAACTTGAGGCTCTTTGAAAACAAAGCCTATCCTGTTTGATTTACGCGGTTGTTTTGAACTTAGCCGAAAAATTTCTACGCTTTTAAAAAACCGTAACTCGAGTAGTTGTTTTTAACTTGTGTAAGACAACATGGTTCTGACAGCCTGAAAGTACGCTGCCTCATCATCATAACGTTCGCACATGCGCAGACGCTTGATCGCTGTCTGCGAGTCTCTCCTATACTTTCCACACACCTTGTGGCAAAACGTTCGGGAAGTCACGTGGCGTCTCATCTTTCCCTGGATAATTGGTTCGTAGGTATCACCAAAAACGAGAGGTTTTCCGCGCAAATTTTTCTTCCTCATCCCCCCTTCGTTCCCTTACCTTTCGCTACCCCCCATCTTGTCGCTGTAATCCAAGGGATCAGTGCCGGATTCAGGGGAAAGGTCTTAGCCGGGGTGGCCGAACCCCCTTCATTCGACCAGTGATTTCATTTTCATTGCAGGCTTGAAATTAAACTCTCGTAACAATAGGATATCGTAATCAAAACATTTTGTATTGAAAATTTACCTTATACTTAAAATATACCTAAACTTATAGAGTCTGAAAAAAAAAAAAACCTTTCTGTGCTGTTTGAGTCAAATTTGGACCCTTATCCCCAATCCCTCCTCCAATCAAAAATTCCTGACTGTGTTTCAGGGTGTAATGTGAGTAACTTACCGCGTTTGGCAAAACAGGATTCTTTTCGAGCATATTGGAGTAAGAAGAAGAAGCTGATGGCGCGCTCGGTCTTCTAAAGCTGAGTCTGATTTTTCCTCTGGTTAGAGACATTTGTGGTAAGCCGTCTGTTTCTTTTAAAATTTTAGCCTTGGCACGGCTTTGGGGACGGTTTTTCCTCACCACCTGCAAATAACCTAGAGCTGTAGCGTTATATAACAGTCGATGAGCGTTATGAAAGGCACGTTAGGCCTTGAGTCCTGACCTCGCATACGCAGATATCTGCTCATAAATTCCCTATTTCGCATGATCAACGCTGTTAAAATCAGCTGTTACAAGTCAAATGGGACTTTTATCCGCCAAAGATTTTTGCTGTCCGTCGCATTGTTGCTTATTTGTAAAGGAAGTAGAGTGTAATTCGTTAGAGTGCGCCGGAAAACCAAGTAAACAGAGTGAAATCATACATCACAAGAAGCTAGCAGGAATTAGCAGGAACTCTGTACAAAATTAGAGTATGAACATATTCGCGTAATCTGCCAAGAGATAAACTTGTGTTGCAACTGGTTTAAATTCTGCATTTGATCGGCAGGCGAGGAGGCGTATGTTTTCTAATTCAATCACAGACCAAAAATAATCCCCGATTACGTTTTATACTTAGCTGAAAATATCCCAATACGATAAACAAACCAACCGTGCCGAAAACTATGTGTAACGGCTCAGCATACGGGGATTTGTTATCACCAGCAGCATGCCTCGCCTTCAGGCTCTCCAAGCGCCTTCTCAGCTGGTTCTCTGTCAGGCCAATAACCCGAGCCCCTGCCGCATAGTGGCCCACAACGTGGGGGGCCTGAATGCGCTTGTATTTGGTATGGTAAAATCTACGATTCAAAGGTTTGACGTTTTCAAAAGTTATTTTGAGTGGTTTTGTATTTTGCCTACATTAAGTCGAGTAATTAGATGAATAAAAGTTCTTAGAACAAAAAGATCGAACCCGGAAGGAATAACTAATTTTGTAACACGATCGTCGGGAGAGTGTAGTCTTGAAAAGGAATATTGACGATGCTAATGACAAATGATGACTTTCCATGGCAGGCCACCATGCGCCTCTTAACTATTTAACAATTATTCCACGAGCGCGCGTTGAATATGAGATGATAGATAGCTAACGAGGCGCGTAGCGCCGAGTTGGCTATAATCGTCTCATACCCAACAAACGCGAGTGGAATAATTGTTTTATCAAAAAAATCGCCCCCAAGATATTACACAAGTCTTCTCGACTTTATTTTGTAAGAAGAAACCGGATGTTACAATGTACAGATATTAGATTATGGTATATTGGCTCATATACCATAATGGCTACGCCAATAAAAAGCCTTGAATTGCATTATCCAATGATCCAGTTTTTAATAAAATCAGATAGCCATGTTAAAATCATAAACAAATGCTAACTAAACCCAACTTTAGTCAACTTGCGAGAGAAAAGAGTGTGATAAAAGATTTCACTTACCCGACAATTTCGTTTATAGAATGAAGGGCTGATCTTTTCATAAACTGTGTCAAAGCCTCAATGAGAAGATTTTCTCTCTTCCTTCTTTCTCCCACACTTGCTACAGGCAATTAAAGGTAAAACCCTTAATCAAGGCCCTCTATAGTAAATAAGCCGTACTTTCATCGACCTTCCTTAGACATATTACCACTTCAGTTTAACCACAACTTATATCTGGAGTTCAACTAAATTTTTTTCCCTTAATATTAGCCATTTTAAAGACCAAGTTACTCTAAACAATTCCTAGTTGGAAAAAAGACTCAGAATTTATACCAGGAGTAAAGCTACAATTTTTGAGCCGGAGAGGAGAGGGGCCGGGAAGTTGGTCATGGCTACGAGTCCTACGAATTTCCGTGCATATACCGCTGGTCCACCTTGTCAACCTCGTTCCCAGGGCCCTTTTCCTTAGTTGGTGTTAAAATCATAAGTAATCATGCTGTTATGATCATTAAATATTATTCCCGCGAGGGGAACAAGGTTTACTGCACCCCAACTATACACACTGTAATGAAAACCCTAAAAGTACCCACTATGTGAGTTACATCTTAACTTTCGAACACAATCAACTCTTTTTTTATTAAGTGTCCGGCCGTATAGGGAAGAGTCCGTACCAGTGGAAGGTGATGAAATATCCATGTCTTTGGTTGTGAAAGGAAATGACACACAAATAATCATGGTGTACCGTGTTATGGTCATTAAATATTATTTACAACGTACCAAATTCCTCTAAGAAGCGCTCTGTGTTTGTCATCAAGTTAAGAAACTCGTGGAAATCAATTTCACCATTACCTACAAAAAAAAAACAATTGATAATAATAATGATAATAATTTCATATTTATATTGCGCAAATTAACATGAAGATATGATCAAATGCGCATCACAACACTTTTCGGGGGACTTTGGCCAGACTGCATCAGCAGTTTACAAACAATCGAAGGAAACTTATTTGAAGATGTCCCCTCCCCCCAATTCTCAGTAAACAGGCCAGACCACATCACAGTAATCTCGTGAGTGGGTTCTTTAACNCTCAAGGGAAGGGGTGCTCTCAAAGAGTTCGAAATAACTCTCATTAGTATATACTAAAACAGTGGATAGCGTTGAAGGCGCGCTCTGATTGGCTAGTCAAACTCCGAATATCCTTTGCTATTTACCTCCGAGCAACTCGGGAAAAAATGGCGTCCCGGTTTGCATCCGTGACAAGCGAAGAAATCACTCAAATCAATTTTTGGTGGTGTATATTATCTCACTGTTTTAGTATATACTAAAACAACTATTCACCTCAGTGTCGGTGGTTAGCGGTGGATATTTACCTCGCCGCTTCGCGGCTCGGTAAATATCCACCACTAACCACCTCCACTTCGGTGAATAGTTGTTAAATATAAGAGACACTTTTACTACTATCCCTTGGGCCTGGGGAACATTCTGTTCATGCATCTCCTAGCTACCCAACACGATTTTCGAGGGTTTTGATTACACTTCGAAATCTCAAAAGCGATTGGTGTCGTAATTACATAAAAACTCAGTGTTGATGGTGAAGATAAATATCAAGTGGTTTCTGCATCAAATACCAACTTTATTTAACTCGGTCATAAATAGAAAATGAGTAGACAGAGAGGGCGTCGGATGGGATGTATTCCAATCGCGCGCATAGTTCCCGGTGTGAATTTTCCCCTAACAAATACCATTTCAGTTCTTTTTAAGTAGTTTCCATCGAAAAATCTTGACTACACGTTTTGCACCCTTTTATTACCTTTACTCCGAACATAAAATCGAGGGAGATCTCTCGATTTACTTTTGCGTGGTCGTCTCGGAAAACAGACTACCGTTCGAAATATCTGTAAAATGAGCTGTGCGACCACCACTCGAAAGACTATCTGTAAAATGAGCTATATTGAATTTACATATCCCTGGGCCTAGAGCAACAGTCACCCTCTCTGTCTCCTTATTCTTATCCCTATTGTTAAATGTTTCTTTGTCCATTTTTTTTATTCATTACCATCTTTATCCATAGCAGACAGTACTTCTTGTAATTCTTCCTGCGACAGATGGATTTCGACTGATTTCAGTGCCAAATCCAGTTCCTCGGCATCGATTGTACCTCCACCATTGCTGTCGAAGAGGTCGAACACCTCCCTAAAGGCTTGTTAGGACATGACTGTATCATATTAATATTCATAGTGGCTACTTTCTTCTAATTTGCACTCGTGGATGCTTAGTCGAAGGGCGGATAGTGCTATAAAGCGCTCTTCGGTTGAAAGTCGTATGAGCCAGAACCAAAGAAATCGCAACAACCATTAACCAATCAAAAGAAAGTAGGAGTCCATTACCCCTTTAAGAGCCAACGAAAACCCAAAGTAAAAAAAAAAAAAACAAAAAATCGCGTGTGGCTATGTTACCCCCCGTTTTACCTTTGCATCCGATTCGTTGAGAAGTTAGCGCGAATTTTCTAAACTAGTCATAGATCTAGAGAGAAGCTGGTAAAACAAAACCAATGGAATTCTGGATATCTTTTAACCCTAAAATACCATTTGTACGTCCACAAACTAAACTGCAAACTTAAAATCTGACCGCGCAGTAACTTACCAGAGGTAAACCCCAATGAAATAACAGTTCCAACAGAAGTTCGTTCCCTACCTGTAACCTGTTCGTCTGTCAATGTTGGACAAGGTGTTGCTCTTTCACTTAATTCATATTGTAAGTCTTCGGCTGATGAGGGTACCATATCAAATGTGACGGTTCCATGTGAAAATTGCGGTGGAGGCTCTGGCACAGCTATGGCCTCTTCTTTTTTACCCAAAGCAAAGGCATTCCTTTGAGTTTTCTGCATTATCAGAAGATTTCCTTCAAAACTATTTTGTCAAAACAATCACATTTTCTTTAGCAGCTCGGCTCGTCTGAGCTGAGTTTATCCCGCAGCCGGCGTCATCTCTAACTTCGGCTGTCTTAATTAGCTTATTAGCTTTATGACGTCATCCAACCGCGCTCTCAAAGAAAAATCAGTCTTAAAAGGTCTTCAGATTGTAATGAACTATATAAGTTTGAGAGCTAGCACGCGATGGAAATGAAGACAATATATTTTACTTCTGATCAAGAATGTTAAGAAGTGTAAAGTGGAAATTTTGACTTTAATGGAGCTACATGGTCTTACGGCTTACGTTCTTTCAAGGAATTCCATGCTGCGGGATGTCTTTGGAACGGGATTACTTTGTTTACATTTCAATATCATGGTGGCGAAGGTTTACTGCACGTTAATTCAATTTCAGCATTTTTTCAAAGCGTTCGTTTAGATTATCTTTTGCCCACAGGGTGCACGAATCAATTACGTAATTGATTTGCCAACCTCGTTCCCAAGTTGTGACCTTGTGAACAAAGCTTTTAAGTGCAATGCGATCTCTTAGAACGCGGTAAAAATCCGGCCGACACTTTCCTGACATATGTTATCAGTCAGTTTCCCTCCACCTCCGTCCATGGGAGAAGGGACTATACACCTTCAAAGTCGTCCGGTTTAAGCTCTATTACACAAAGAAAGGACCCTCTTGCTTCGTGAATTTTCTGAGGACCTGTAATGACATCATATGTTATTCGTAGAGAACTGTCGAATGTCCTGTCAAATATGGGCTCATCCTCGATGTAAAAACCTGTGAAGCTCACGAGTGACGTAAAACAAAGACAACAAAACATTATAAACAATAGCGTACAGCAAAACAATACCTCATGAAACAAAGAAAACCTCGTCAGGTTTTTACACCGAGGATGACCCCAAATATGAGATGCGAATTATTTTCTCCGGTGCCATATAAAAGTGTTGGACAGCCAGTCATGCATCTATTCCAGCTTGTTTCATTTTGAACAATCAACCTCGGACAAAGCGGTCAATTGACAGATCTAAAGGGGGGTGGGGTGGGGTGGGAACGCGATCGCGACCCAAGATTCCACTGCACCAAAGGTTTGCTCTCCATTAACAGCAATACAGTTTGTTTTCGCACTCGACTGAATTTGATTAGCGCTTTATGCACGCTCTCAGCTGGGGACAGTGATTAAAATAAGACTGTGCAGGGGTCTTCGCGAGAGGTTTATATCATTTTTATTGACCCTAAAGTCTGTGTCTCCATGGACTCCGGTAATTATTCCGGATCTTTATTGTTAGTTTACTGAACACTTAAAAAGCCAGGCCGACGTATATTTCTCTGTCCGCTAATTTTGAATTTCATGTAGTAAAGTAATGATACTTGTACTTCCATTAGAAGGCGGGAGAGTATTCCAATATATGCAATGAAAATACTGGACTGGCAATACATCATTTTAATTGGTTCATTTACTTTACAGCCCCTTACAACTGTCGCATCTTGTAATACATAGTTTCTTTGCCAAAGCTACACGGTAATTTCTTCTTTCGATTAAGTGCTAGCTCCAAAAAAAAAAACAACAACAACAAAAAAAAGTCAAGCACTGCGTCGGACTTACTCTCCGGGCAAACTCGTTAACTTCGTCGGAAATCTTCGTCGGAAAGTCAAACAGCAGTCGATAATTATTCGTAACGTGAGCTTGAGGCTGGAGCCAACCTAAACACATCGTCTCGCCTGCCGGGGTAGAAAGCAAAGCTATAACACGATGTCTACTTCACGAGCGTTCTTTCTTATCGTCTCTACCTTCCTTCAGGTAGCTAAATATTGTTCAGGTAAGCGATGTTTATGCGTTATGGAGGGTTGGTTACACGTGTTGATGAGTTTTGCGAGTTGGATAATTTTGATTGCATATTTAGCCGCAGAAAACGTTCCTCGTAGTAATGGTTCTTGTAAGTAGCGGAGTTTTTAGACACCAATATCATTTTGTAGAAACTGAGACTTGTACATTCTCTTCGATGATTTTCCACGCTTTCGTTGAAGAGAAAACTAAACTGTGAAACGAGTTTTCAGTTTTTAGCTTGTACAAATCCGAATGTTGCGTTTTAGCTGTCTGGCAGACGGATATCCAGACATGTTGAATTTCAAAGTTGTGTGCTATTAGATATCTGTGTTTGGAGTACACGAATTCTTTAGGCGTTCGGCATGTCTTGTTCGATCCCTCGTCATCGCTTGTCTTGGTTTAGTTACTGGTGCATGTAAATTTTAATTGGTAGAAAAATTCGAGATTTGTTTGAAATTCCGTTGACATTTTGATTGTCATGAAGTTAGCGCAAGCTCGAAACCATTACCACTTTTTCTTTCTTGCGAAATGTCGTGAATATTTTGAAAATTGGGGTATATTTTCAAACTAACGGTTTATATCTTCGTTTATTTCTCATCATAACTGCCAAGATAAACTTTCGATCAACATTTGTGGTGCGTAAAAATGCGTGTTCATGATTCCAAACGGTTTTGTAGTTTACACGTAACTCTCTCAATGCTCCATCTCTTTCTCTCTTGAATATTTGTAAACTTTCCAGAAACATTGATGTCTCCATCGATCAAAACGTCAATATAGAATCTTCAGAGCTATAAAATATTCTCATGGGACAGTGAACTCGTTTTTGCGTTGTCTCAACATTTTTAGCATTAGCATTCCCTTAGAACTGTCCGGAAAAAAAAAATCCTATTAGATATTCCTTTCGTGAGAGAAGCCTCCATTTTATCAGCGTTTTTTTTCTAAGCTTTGGTTAAGTGATTTGTCTCTCGTGGGTGTGTTTGGTCTTTCTCTAGCAAATAAGAAATCCTCCCCGTTTGTTTCATGTCAACCCCTGCCATGCTAGTCGAAGGCGAATGTCGTTCAATTCATTTATTTGTATTGCAAACACCTGAAGTGTAAGAAAAAAATTACTGCAGCAATTCATGAAATTGTGAGATTTTGTGTTGTGAATGAGGCCAATGTGGACTTTGCATGTGTGCTATTTATAGCAAAGTGGAAACTTTTTAGGTTTATCAAAAGATGATATCAGCTAACAAAAATATTGGCTTAATTTATTGATTAAAGTTTTTTTTCCTCTTGTACCACCCCCTGTCAGATGTTATATAACATTCGTATTTCCTTAGTTGTTTTAGCCGTTTGTGCACAGAAAAATAATGTTTGTCTTCTTTCAAAGTCCTTCCTTTTTGAGAATTTCTGATAAAAACGTTTGATGCTTTCCTGATCATTAATGCTTTCATCACAATAAAAGGCTACAAGTTACCTTCTTCACTGCTGATAATTTGTTATTGGGTTTGGCATTATTTAGTGTTATTCATATCCTGTTTGGATTATCTTACAAATATTCATTACTTCTCTGGGCTTTATTTTACAAAATACAGACCACACAAACCCAATGGTTGTGGATCCTAAAAGGATTTATTGATAGTATTGGGAAGAAGTTTTGTAATTAGGTCTGCAAACTAATTCATAGTTTTTATTCAACATGTTCTTACTAAGTCCAGTTCTTACAGTGTTTTAGGCCAAAGTTCTCACAAATCAATCAATAAAACCAAGTAAACTACAGAAACAGCATTTTTGTTTTGGAATTTTTTAGTTACTGGCATGATGCACAAAATAATGTAATTGTGGTGCCAACTTGCATTAATCTGTGTTGCTAGAAAAAAAAGGGTTTAAAATTTTTCAAGAAGTCATGATATTGACATGCACCTAAACCTTTGATGATTTTTAGAATTCTTGATGTTGTCACATAATTATAACAACTAAGGTTACAAAGATTAGTTTCTTCACAAGAGTTATCATTCCTTGGAACTTCTCATTTCTGACTACAATGCCTTGCTGGTCACAAATCTGTCCCATGTTCAGACTTTCATGATTATGATTTTGTTTTTCCATTGTTAAGTAGACCCTTGTTGTATGTCAGAATCTCTGACTTTCTTGTTGTGATGGTCTGGTAAATTCCTTGTGACTTCTGAAGCTGATGAATCACAAGTCCATATCGAGAATACTCAGACGCTGAATATGCTGAATGTGGTCAGTTATATTTTGACCAAAACTACAGTTTGCACACAGTTGAACCCAGTAACTCGAATTGCCAAGGAGAATTGAATTTACTTCCAGTCATTGGGTTTTGAGTTATAGGGGTTTTTAGCATAAAGACTAGAAACACTTGATCAAAGAAATCTTTCGCTTTTACATGTTTTATTGTACAAAGAGCGTAAAAAGGACAAAATAAAACAAAAGAAAGTAATGACAAGCAACAGATCAATTCCAGATTGCATGCCATTATTTCTTTTTGCTGGGAAGAACTGCCAAAAGTGTTTGTTTGTGAATATACAAATGTGTGGTATTGACAAAGGTCAATTTGTCATGATGTGCAAATGAGATTAAATGTAATCTCCTGGTGCAGAATGTTATGGCCCATTATTCTGCAAAAGTGAAAACTGACTTGAGTTATAGAGGGTAAAATTACAAAGAATAAGTACCTGAAGCCAAGTAAAAATGGCTTCGAGTTAGCTGGGTTTTGAGTTATTGGGGTTTTGAGTTCTAGGGGTTAAAATTACAGTAAATGTCTAAGGCAAATTCAAGGGAAATCAGTTTTGCTTCAAGGTAGCAGGGAATTTGAGATACCAAGGGTTGGAGTTATCGGGGTTCAACTGTAATCACAATATACCTGGCAATTTTCTCACTTTGGGCTTGATTTCCATGCTTATGTATTGAAGACTTTATCTCGTGTCTTTTCATGGCTGCCAAACAATTTCTCATGCCCTACAGAAAATTTAGAGCTTCACCAGCTTTAAAGCTTGGGTTTTTGACAAAGAGGTATGTCGTGAAATAAATGGGAATCATTGCAAGTGAAGAAAAGTCCTTACAAATCATTTTAAATCAGCCAGAACCTTTTCTTTTTGGAAGGAACAGGGTTGTAGATACATCTGTGTCAACTTCTCAGGACAGTTTCCTAAATATTTAAAAGGTAGTCAGAAATCTTTCAGATATGATCAGGTTCTTGAAAAGTCTGCTTTCACTTCACTTGAGAGTTGTGGGTTGTGTGTGGTTTACATGCAGAAAAATGGAGCCACTTTTTTGGTCAGAACATGGACACAAGTTAGAACTAGATAAAGACAAAGAGGGCATAAAGAGTACCAATTTGGAAAACAAAGTTTTGTTTTTAAGGTTTTAGGCTTTCCTAATTGCTTAGATGTGGAAGCCTTAAAACTCTAAAGCAAAAATATCTTTTTCAAATCGGCACTCTTTGCCCCATGGTATCAATGTGTCATTATGGAACCTTCCAAGACAGCTCAGAAATAATAAAAAAAGCAGTTGTTTCAATAGATAAAAGATTTAAGTCTACTGGTTAAATTAAGTCTGGTTATTGAATTTAGGTCCCACTGAAGCCTGTCAAAGTATGAACTTTCTCTTCAGAATTAACTTTCCACAGTTGCAGTATATATCTCTGAGAACTGGTAAATAATATTTGTCTCTAGGCAAGTTTTGTTGATTGGATTGTTTTCTTTTTTTTTTTCTTGTTCAGGTGAAGCCAATCTGACACAGAAAACAGGTCCTTCCCATCAGGTCATAGAATGTGAATGCAGTGGATGTGAGAAATCCCAGTGCAAAACAGGATTTGGTTGTTTCTCTTCAGTTAGACCAGATGAGCAGAACCAGAGTTATGTAGTGTCACGTGGGTGTCTTGAACATCAGAGGCATTTCATTGTTAAATGTGACAAACCATATCATCTCATAGTCTGCTGTAAAGAAAATATGTGTAACCGGAATGTGACTCCGTCAGTTCCACCAGGGTGGCCAGGTAAGTTTTGCATTTGCAGTACCACTCAAGTGCAAGTTCACATTCCCTGGTAGCTTGATCCTTCATTCTCAATCTTCAATTTTTTAGAATCTGGAAGATGGAAATTTAAGTTGAGTTTCGAGATGAAAAACTGATCCTACAAGAGGACAAAAATTACGCAGAAATATCGAGAAGGATTTAAATTATGGTGAACCAAGAGAATGCAAAATCAATTGGGAAAGATCTCCTTACAAAACACAAATTGAGAATGCAAGACATTTATTCAAGACATGTAGGAGTGTGGTAGCAACATCGTAGGTTACCACTCAATGGTGTGCCACAGCTACTTTTAAATACATTAGTATTAACCCCTTACACCACACACATTATCCAAACTGTTCTCAAGGAGAACTTGTTTTGACTATCAAAAGCTTCTTTTGATTATTTAGTGATCGTTTCCTTTATTCTCCTGATCTTAATGTGTGATTCAGTTTAATTTAATTTACTCCATTTTCACCACATTATTTGCAGTGGTGAAGGACTAGAAAGGAACATATGAACCATTTGTGCTAGTCCACCCTCTCACCCATCCCACCCCAGGGGAGGACATCCATCACACAGTAATCTCGTGTGTGGGAAATTTACGTCTCCTACCCCAACCCTGCAGGAGACGGGACCTCCATTTATTCATCCCTATCCGAGAAGACTAGAATATCTAACTATTACTTGATGTTATAGGAAGGTAGCAAATTCTTCTCAATTATTTTAAGACCTTGAGTGTTAGTCCGGCCGGGGCTCGAACCCTCGACCTCCAGCACAACAGTCCAGCGCTCTATTCATTGANCCTGACCTTAATGTGTGATTCAGTTTAATTTAATTTACTCCATTTTCACCACATTATTTGCAGTGGTGAAGGACTAGAAAGGAACATATGAACCATTTGTGCTAGTCCACCCTCTCACCCATCCCACCCCAGGGGAGGACATCCATCACACAGTAATCTCGTGTGTGGGAAATTTACGTCTCCTACCCCAACCCTGCAGGAGACGGGACCTAAATTTATCGTCCCTATCCGAGAAGACTAGAAAGCCTAACCATTTGCAGATATTATTACAAAGGCAGCACTTTCTTCTCAGTTAATTAAAGATCCTGAGTGTTGGTCCGGCCGGATTTGAACTCACGACCTCCCGCACAACAGTCCGGCGCTCTACCAGTTGAGCTAACCGGGCGCGGGACATGTTTTGTATCGTACCTGAAGAGTCCAGAAAGAACAAAGGCCAAAACAACTGAAGCAACCAATCGGACTGCACATAATCATAATTGTAAGTAATGTAACATTGATATCAGAGCAATTTTCAATTGAGTGTTGAAAGTCATCCGGGATTGTTTGGTTTTACTTAACTTTGCACTGTAATTGGTTCAGAAGACTCATATTATCATCTCAACCAATCAGATGCAAAACTAGAAACAATCGCGACTTAGTCATCCACGATTTTCCGAGCTACCAGCAGCTCTCTTGTTTACACTCTGAGTTCCCATTGGCTACTTATAAAGTAAACCTTGTTCTGACAGGTCGCAGGGATTACTTTGGTTTTGGTATTTGGACACTTATTTGAAAACTTCTGAAATCTAGTACAGGTCATTTGTAATACTCAAGTAAAGATGTGTAAAGAAATGAAAGAATAATTGAATAATAAATTTTAAAAAGTTGAGCAGAATATTGATGACACACAATCGCGTGAAATCGAACTCAGTCCATTAATGAAGCAATTTCAATTGTGTTCGATTATGAAATGTTCGATTGGCTACCCCGGGAAAGTAAAACTTGCCATAAATCAGCGTTGTTTCGACCTAAATCGTCCAACATCTAAAATAATTTTAATTGAGTGTCTAAAGTAATCCAGGATTGCTTCAGATTTCTTAACTTCGGTCTGCGATTGGTCGAGAAAACTCGTGCTATGCTCTTAACCAATCAGACGCCCAATGAAAACCAATCATGACTTGATCGCCTGCATTTTCCCGCCCTTGTTTAGAGGTTTGCTTGTTTTTACTTTGATTCCTCATTGGCTAATGATGATGCAAACCTTCGTTTTGATTGGCCTTTGTAATTACCTTGGTTTTAGTTTCACGACAGTCAGTCAAAAACTGCTCTATTAAGACCTACACGAAGGAATCAATCTCATGGAAGGCTTTTCTCCTGCCACAATAAACTCCGAGCTGCATTAAGCGAAGAACGAGAGGGTATGGTCAAGTCCGCGCTCGAGCCGGAGCTTATCTCCTCTTTCTGTTGCATGAAGCGACTAAGAGTTAGTCGTAATCTCGCGCCCAGATCATACCGTACAAATGTAACTGAAATGTAGGCTTGGCTTAAGAAGGTCTTGGTACGAGACTTGCTACTCCCTTCCCTGGACTTCATCGAAGGTTACCCCCCCCCCCGAATGTCTCATAGTTAGACCAACATTTCAGTGGCAGTAACATGGTATTATCTGCCAACGAGATTCACTCCAGTGTCGAGAGACGCATTGTGATAGTAAAGTAGTTTGCTCAAAAAACACAACACATTGACCCGCCAGAGTCTTGAACCTAAACCTGTCGACCAGTCGCATTAACCGGAAGCGAACCAAAAGTAAGGTAATAATAATAATAGTAGTAATAATAAAAATAATAATAATAATAATAATAATAATNTTTATTCATCCCTATCCGAGAAGACTAGAATATCTAACTATTACTTGATGTTATAGGAAGGTAGCAAATTCTTCTCAATTATTTTAAGACCTTGAGTGTTAGTCCGGCCGGGGCTCGAACCCTCGACCTCCAGCACAACAGTCCAGCGCTCTATCCATTGAGCTAACCGGGAGGCGGTTAGCTCAATGTTGTAAAGAGAAATTAGTTGCTGGTCTCTTAGGGATCAGAGGATTATCATAATAAATGAAGTCTGCTGATTTTGATTGAAAGGTCTTCTAATTTTACCTTACAGGCCAAAAAAATGCGACCCTTGCATCCCCTCCTGACAATCGAGGAGTAGAATGCATGTGTAGTGATTGCGGAGATACCAATGAGAGATGCTATGCATGACTGGGCTGTTTCTCAGTACTCAAGCAGGTTGAGCATGATCGTTATGTTGTGTCAAGGGGCTGTTTTCAGAACACAATACAAGAGGATAAATTGTGAGAATCCAGTGACTCCAGCTGTCTGTTGTGAGGAAAATTTGTGTAACTGGAATGTTACCCCTTAATTTCCATCAACAGAATCAAGTAAGCGCTTGTTACTTGTTATTGACAGTTGTTGAGGACTTTTACTGTGCATACATCTGAGAATTTGCAGAACTATCTCACATTTTCTAAATACCCTTAGCTATGAAACCTGATAAGTTTGAAAATAGACTTATCTCCTCACACCTTACCAGAATTCTCCATATTTTCCATACTGATCTCACACATTCTCTTGGGTACCAAAATGGAGAATTTGTTTTACAATTCCATGCCTCTTAAGTTGCCAATCAGTTCCTTTATCCTGACTCATGATCTTACAGAATGATTCAGTTGTATTTCTGTTAAGGAGAAGGGTAAACAGAGCAATGTACTCGCAATCTAATGTATTTTGTAGATTTGTGAAGATTTCAGTTCAATCAAACTTTTGAATTCAGCAGGCCTGCGAAATTGACCAATAATAGCGGGGATTTTTCTTATGAAGTGAGAATAATAGAGGTCAATATAAATTATGCCCAGATGTATAAAAATTTTGGCACTGAATTATAAACATGTTATGCAAAGGTTAATAAGATAATTGAATTCATTTTCCATGATTGTTAACATGTGTATGGTTATATTTACCATTTTCTCTATTTTCTCTGTTTAGCTGCATCTACTCTCACCAGATTTGAGAAAGTTGAACGCACCAACTTCATCTTGTTGAGTATTTTTGCTCCTATAGCTGCTCTTGTTGTTGGCATTGTAGTAGTCTGTGTGGTATATCAGTTGTTACAAAAGAGACAATTAAAAAATGGTAGATACCCAAATCTTAGATATGCCCGTCATTCAGCTTCATTTCATGAAGATGGCAGCTGTAATGCTAGAGAATGTGGAAAATGTAGTGGGTCTGGAGTGTCAAAATTCTCTCAGCGCACAGCCGCCCAGGATGTGGACTTAATTCAAGTCATAGGAGAAGGGAAATATGGAAAAATATGGAGAGGAATCTGGCATGGTGATGATGTTGTGGCAAAATTGTACCTACCTACTGAGGAGAAGTTCTTTAAGAATGAAGTGGATGTGAACAACAAAATAGGAAACCATGAGAACATTCTTAGAGTGCAGCATTGCCATTCTGCATTTATTTGGAATAAAGCAACATACAGATGCATCGTGATGGAATTTCATGAAAATGGGTCACTGTATGACTTCCTCAGTCGCAGAACTGTTAACGCTCAAGAGATGTGCTCCTTAGCTCTCTCAGCTGCACGCGGCTTGAATCATTTGCATGGTGAAATTTATGGACGAAAGGAAAAGTACTCCATTGCACATTGCGACTTGAAATCGAAAAACATTATGGTGAAGTCAAATCTGACTTGTTCAATAGGAGGATTAGGACTGGGTGTAGTGCACGATAGGTCACAAGACAAGATCATCACAGAAAACAAACGAAGGGGAAGCCCAAGATACATGTCCCCGGAGCTGTTGGAAGGCGGAGTTTTTAAATCGTTTGAGTCTTATAAACGAGCTGATGTGTATTCACTTGGTCTTACTTTGTGGGAAATAACCAGGAGAACTTTTACAGAAGGTAACCCCTCCATGTATAAATATTATGTATAATTATGTGATTATTAAATAGCCTCCATTTGTTGTGAAAATATGCCTGGACATTTGTCCTCGGACACATTCTGTTCCGAAACAGTTTTCTGAGACCGAAGCTTGAAGAAAACTGTTAACTCCTTAGAGGCTCTGTACTTATTATCCTCTAGATATG